CATCTCAGTAAGGCTTCTCTTTTATATTTCACTCGCTCCATTCTGAGGAGGTGAAAAGGGAACAGTAAGTTGATGTTTGATGTTGTTATTAGATAGAAATTACCCCATTTCTTTGCTAGTATATTCACCGCCATTGTTCAGAGAATATGTATGTTTCTTCCGAATTTGTTTCTTGTTATATCAAAAAAGTCTTGATTTACTAAGAAATTCATTCTTTTTAATGAGCAAATAGTGACAGTGTATCTAGTAAAGTAATCAGTAAAGGTTACATAATAAAGTTTTCCACCATTTCTTTGCTAGTATATTTACCGCTGTTATCGGTTTAGAGAGTCTGTATGGTTCTTCCAAATTTGTTTCTTGTTATACCAAAAATGTTTTTTCATTTACTTAGAACTTCATTCTTTTTAGTAAAAAAATAGTGACAGTGTATCTAGTAAAGTAATCAGTAAAGGTTATGAAATAAAGTTTTCCCACCAGTGCTTTGGAGTATGCATAAACCTTAGCTGCTCTTCTTGCATATCTGCCTTTGGTTTTCTAGAGGTCCAAGCTTCGAGACATTGTCTAAAGCAGGGTTTCTTAAACTTTCTTCACTTGTGACTCCTTTTTATCACTGAGATTTTTTTTGTGACCCCCAAGACCCCATAATATTTACAAAACTTTTGTTGAACCTCATAAGTATTGAGCAAATCTGACACACACGTGAGTAAAACTGTCGATTTTTTCACTTGTACTGTAATATACTATTGCAGTTTTAGGTCATTAACTTTAATTTCCAATTTTAATCTATTAGCCGCTGGTGTTGCATTGACGCAACGGTCAAAATAAATGCATATATAAATATAACTACCTAAGATATTTTATACCAGCAGATGATTTTGTGTAGAGAATATTATGAAGATTATTTCTGTAAAAAAATATTTGCCTTCAACAATAATTTTGTTTATAATAATTAATCTCATACTTTGAGCAAAATTTTCGACTGGGTATTTTTTCTGAAAGTATTTCACGAAAGAATCACAGTCTTTATGAGTGATCTATTTTTAGTCAAGATCACCATTTATCAGAACATTACATCAGTCAGATGTTTACATTTGTGTTGGAAAAGAAGGGAAAACAGGCGTTGCGCTGACGCAACGTCAGCAGGAAATGGGTAGTCAATCTCCTTTTGCACTCATTCCTTTCGATGTTCTGGTTCATGTTCTGGTTGTTTAAAAATGCCTAGAACAAGGTATCTTACATTAGAAGAAGCCCTTCAAAGATTTTTTGATGAAGAAACAGATGATGGTAATGTTAATAATGACCAGAATGAAACTGATATTGTTGTTGTTCCCCCAGAAATTGCAGAAGCTAGTGACGAAGAAGAAAGGAATGGCAGTTTTTTAAATTTTTGGAATGGCAGTGTTTCAATTTCCCCAGCAGTATCCAAAATGATACTGCTGGGGAAATTGAAATTCACGTGAGAAGTAAGTAAGTTTCAAGCCTTCTAAAAGCAGTTATAGTCTAAAAAGTTTAAAAAGCAGAAATACTGAAATCTTGAAGTGGATAAAAAAGGAACTCTAGTTATGTCTCAGGAAGAACAATGAAGAAAGAGATAGAAGAGGAAATTATAAAAGACAAAATACAAAGTAAAACTAGTGCACAGATTTTCGATTTTCTTTTTGGTTTAGACATTTACTCTCTTCTCGTTGAACGGACAAATATATACGCTCAGAGAAAAAAAAAAAAAAAAAATTTATTGCATCTGAAGCCTATATGAGAAGATTTATTGGAATATTATTGCTTACATGATATCATTCTTTACCTCAAGAAAAAATGTATTGGTCTTTTGATAAGGACATTTCTGTTCCTGCTGTACAAGAATCGATATCACGTTTGCAATACAGGAATATGGAGCAGAATTTGCATTTGAGTATAGTCAAATTGACAATACTGATAAATTATATGAGGTGAGACTGTATCTAAACTTACTAAATATCACTACTTTTTTTACTACTGGAAATATAGTCTCTTTTAGATTTCAGATGCAAGAATGCATTATTCCTTTTGCTAACTTCTATTGAGAGTGTAGAATTAGCCAGAAATAGATCAGCAAGAGGAAGACCTAGTAAATTCAGCATTCAAAAACCATTGCATGGAGACGGTAGACATTTTATCGTAGAGTCCTTTGATAACAAAAGACTTTGTTGTGAAGAGTACCATACCCAGGCTGTTTATAGATGCAAAGTATGTAATGTAGCTTTATATCATGATTGTAATCAAGCTTTTCATGCTTGAATCTTTCAATTGAAATAATCTGTGTTTATAAACGATGATATTTTAATATTAAATTAATTACAAGTAAAGTGATTTGTAGATTTATGAAACGTTATACAGCTAAAAAGTAATCCTGCGCTCCACTCGAAAGAAACATCATACGAGTACAATCCTACTCACTAAACATCCGTAGTCTTATTCCACTGACGTTGCATGAACGCAACACTCACTTTTTCTACAGGTAAGAGCATTTTGTTTAATTTTCAATGTAAATTTATGTTATAAATGCTTCATTTAATATTTGTTATTATTTTCATGCGGAAAGAAACATTCCTTGTAGTTTTGGCGGTTAATGGGTTAATAACAAAGATTATCCTCACAAATGTATTTATTTTATTATGCATTTGTTAATCATTTTGTTGTAGAGGAACGATCTGGCTCCAACACATTTCAAATTCTCAATCACAAAGCTGTAAGATCTGTTACAGCAAGTACACAAAAGAATAGAATACTCAGTTCAAATTACGTAGGTCGAGAGTATAACATGCTAGCAGCGCCTCCTGTCGGCAACTCTTAATCACTACTGAACACGCATCTTTCAAAATTGTTAGATTATTCTCACCCTTCCTTTCCAAAATTTTAAAAATACATATATATTTATTTGAATTTAGATTATTTTCAATGAGTTTTAGAAATTAAACAACAAAAACTGCTGAAAATATTGATAAATACCAATATTTTAATAAAGGTAGTTTTTTTAGGTAACCATCAAAGTTGGATGAGGTCATGTCAAAGTAGTGGCATGTGTTTCTGCATAATTTTCAAGGAACTGATACTTTTTTACTTAATCAGTATTCTGCACTTCGTAAAAAGGCTGTTGTTGATTTCTACTGTTTTGTTAGGCACTCTGATTTTACAGGAAGCTCTATTTTTAACATTTTGAGTATAAACTTCCTACAAGTAATTGTTTCAATCTATTAATATGTTGCATTCATCTGACCATATTGTGTTTATTAATAAACATATTTTTTGATTGTAGGATCCAATAAGTTTGAAAATAATCCACTGCTTAATGTTCTATAGAAGGCAGGTCCCAAGTTTTTTTCAAAATGCAAGAAAAAAATGCAGTGACAGTGTTATATCTTTGTTCATAAAAACAAAACGTAGCTTACCAAGAATCAGTTGGAGTCATTAAACGTAATTGCATATTTTACGAGTGTGTTGTTACACTTATATATTACTGGTACTAAATTGCACTGCTCCGCCCATTGGGGAATTCCTTCTGGTTGACAACCCCTGCTATAGAAGGTATGCCTAAAATTTTATAGAATCTTGTGTAAGATTTCAGTACTTTTCCGTTATGCAACTACCATAGTTTTTGGCACCTGTTAAAGAGAAACCAAACATAGGCTGAAATCATCTACAGTACCATCTGGGGACTGTATGTGTGTGTCCATGTGTAAAGAAGAATAATTAACACATATTATTACTTTAGTACCACTAAAGTGCTGAAAATATACAAAGTTTTTCAAACTATAATCAAAACAAATTTTCAGTTTCTGATGTATATGATGTAGCAGACATTTTTTTTTATTCATAAGCATTTTTTTCCTCTAGCTTCTAAATGTAATATTTTGTGCAATTTTTTGGTACAGTATTACGAAATTAAATCTAATAAAAATGAAAATTAAATCTTAAATAAAAATGTAAAAAATTAAATTTGTGCTCTTAATTATAAATTTTACTTTCCAAAAGTGAGCACTTTTAATTGTTGTATATTGTGCACTGGTAAAGAGAGTGTTTTTTAAATTTTTAATTAAATTTTATTTTATTTAAAATTTATTTATTGTTTATTTGAAACTTGTTTTCAAATCAACTATTAAATTTTTATCGAAAAAGAATCACATCTGTTCCAAAATTTTTTATCCTTCTCTATGTCATTGATCATTTAAAAATTTATATGAGGTTAAAAAATTATTTTAAAAATAAAAATTAAGTTCTAATTTACTAAAAGAAAATTGTCTTGTAATTTATTTGTAAGATTTATAATGCTTTTACATATGCTAAAGTTTCAATGTGATTTTGATAGAAAATTAAATTCAGAAACCTATTTAAAATTTAGAATAATGACCCAGTTTCTGGTCAGTTAAAGTAGCCATTTAAACTGGATCTGATAATTTTAATGAGTCCTATTAATTCATTCTATTCTATAATTCACTTCAAAAAAATTCTATTCACAAATGAAAAACTAAATCCTTCTTTTTAAACCCAAAAGAAAATTTTGTTGGTTTCATAATGTTTTTAAATTTTCAAATACTTGTATAGGGTTTTTCAGAAAATAAAACCAAGGAAACGTTTTCAGAATTCTTTAGAATTATCAGCAGATTTTCTATAAATTGGATTTTATAAAAATTCTATACATGGGACCTTTATAAACTCTACAAATTTATGTAGAATCTCTGTGCTGATCTTTGTATATAGCTCTATAAAAAGTATACCTAAAATTGTATTGGATCTATAGACGATCTTTGACCCAGTTTATAAAAAATTGGACCATAATTCTAAAAGATTCTAAAAAAGTTTATATTTTTGCTTATAGAATTCTTAGACTTCTTCGTGAGAGCTATTTTTTTAATCCTCTTTGTGTGTTATACTACGGAAATCAGTATTCACAAAATATTGCTTTCTTCAAAGAGCATGAATCCAAGTATGAAATTAAAATGAATTCTTTTATGAATTTGTTTCAGTGTGGCCTAGTGACGAATACATTGTAGAATTTTCTCTGGAATATGGATTTCTGAAGTTAAGTCCTTCTGTTAGAAAACGCTTGAATATTTCGGTAACACTGGTAGCATTAGGTAAATAGTATATGGATGTTAATATAAGATTATATCTTTCTTATTATTGATTGAATTGTTTTTTTTTTTTTTTTTTAATTCTGGAAAATATTTATACATTTGGTTTCTTGTTATAACTGCTCATTATAGCTAGGCTTACCTGATATTTTTTGCTCAAAAGGAAACAATTTTGAGAAAATACCTCACAGCAAAGAATAAAATGTACTGTGATAAGTACGAATCATTGAAAAATCTAAACACAGAAGTTGTTAATGAAAACAACAGAGAGTTAAAAGGATTTTTATTAACTCATCTGAACATATCTTTTTATTAAAAAGTTATATTTATCACTAGTGTGAATTTCCTTTATAAATTCTTAAAAACACAATTCATATTTCACTTAGTTGTTTACATCGCAAAGTTTTTTCAAAAGCAGTTAATCCATTTTTAATTCATTAGTATATGCACAGTTTCTTTTTGGAATTGTAGAATTAAATTTAATGTACAGTATAAAATAATCTATGTTCCGTTTTTTCAGTTGACAGGTGGCGCTCTTGATGCGCGCCGATGAAAAATATTTCACTTGATGCTTGAACTTGAAGAATGACGCATGTCATATAATTTTGATGCTTGATTATGCTTTCATGGCCGCTATAGGCGGAAGTAATATACTATATCATTAAGTTTATCGTTAATAAATGTTATTTTCTATGTTCTGTGAAATCTTGAAGTTTTGATTTGAAATTCTAATGCTCTCCTAACCTTGACTCCTGAAACAAAACGATCTTTGAAATTATGACTCATGAAGAGACACCATAAATCGCAAATGACGTTTTGCGATTTCAACATGTGCGACAATGTGACCTATTCAAGCCTCGGTATTATGAACACTATTGAAACAAACTAATTTAAAAATGTATTAAAAGTACCTGGATCTAATGTATGCTATTTTTAATTCTGGGGGAAAATATCTGGATGAAAACAAAACATCTAAATTCATTAGGCCCATGCTGCAGTTTTGGGAGAAAACGTTTAAAAAGCTTTTTAAAAGTAATTGTGTCTAGATGCAGAATATTTAAATTGTTAAATAGATGTAACAGAGGGGATATTTTAATCTCCAAATCATTATATAATCAGAGACTGCACAATTTTTACTTCTTGTACATTCAGGACTTCTTAAATTTTACCAAGTAAGTGGAACAAAATGATAAACTGGCCAGAAGGTAGGGACAACATTGTAAACCCAGACTGTTTTGGTCAAAGTGGAACACACAAGTTTATTCATTTATTTTTGTTTTCTTCACAAGAGAGAAATTAAAAAGTGCATAAACTTTCAGTACTGAGTACTTTCAGTTTGTTTATCAGCTATGTTGATGAATTTTTTTAACTTCATATTTTCTTTATTTATTTTTCTTTTTTAATATGTGCATATTAAATGAAATATTGTTTTTATTACTATTTTAGTGTTGTGGAACCACATTTTTCTTTGATTTAGCAGGAGAGGAAAAGTGCTTTAAAAATTTCTTTCTAATTCTATTAGGACATTTTCATTTTATTGGCTATAATGTTAAATTTTCTAACTTCATATTTTCTCTTTCATTAATTTTATTTCTTTTCTAATACACCTGGATATTAAACAGCATATTATTTTTAACCTGTTTCATTCTATTGGAACTAAACTCTTTTTGTTTGATTTAGTAACTTTTCAGAAACTGAAACGTAGTTAGGAATTTCTTTAACATATTTTTATCAGACTAGTTTATTGTGTATTATGTAGAATTTATTTATAATTTTCTGTTATATTTATTTTACCTTTTTGTAATATTTCTGTGTATAAAATAAAATGTTGCTTTTAGGATAGTTCACTGCAGTGAAATCATTTTTTTTAATATAACTAAATTGATTCTTCCCCCCCCCCCATTATCAACTAAGAAAATGTTTTTTTTTTAATCATATTTTCCCTTCTGTCCATTTATTTCTTTTCTAGCATGTTTGTGTAATAGATTAAGTATTGTTTTCAGCTTGTTTCATTGTAGTTGAACTACTTTGCTTTGATTTAGCTAGTTTGGTGTATTTGCTTTTTTGCCCTTTTGAGAGGAAAACAGAAAACTGCTTTAGAAATTTATATAAAAGATTTCTGTTAGAACACTTCCAGTTTTTTGCTGTGGTGATGAATTTTTCTTTTTGTAATAATGAATTCAGTATAATTTTACTTTTTTTTAACTTTAATGAATTTTTTTTCTAATATTGTCTGTATTTTAAATGTTTTTATGTGTATGTTAAGTGTTGTTTTTAGTGTAAGCCCTTTTTCTTTGATTTAACCAGCTTGGTTATTTAGGGAAAAACTGAAAAGTGCTTTGAAAATTTTATTCACATTTCTAGAACAGTTGCCTATGATGATGAATATTTTTAACTTCATATTTTTCATTGTTTTATTTTGTTTTGTTTTTATTATGTCTTTGTATTGAATAAAATATTATTTTTTAGTGTATTTAACTGTGGTGGAATAATTTTTTCTTTGATTTTAGCAAAGTTATTTTTCAAAGAGGAAAATTGGAAAGTGATTTAAAAATTGCTGCAATAGATTTCTGTTTGAACATTTTGTCAGCTAAAAGGATTAATTTTTAAATTCACGTTTTTTTTTTTTTTATTTTACTTTTTTGAATATGTGTGTATATTAAATGAATATTGTTCTTCATGTATTCTACAGTAGTGCAGCCAGTTTCCTTTGATTTATCTAATTCACTTATTTTTTCAGAGAGGGAAACAGAAAAATGCTTTGGAAATTTTTTTAATAGATTTCTGTTAGAGCACTTTATTGGTTATGATGATGTACTTTTGGCTAGTTTAAGGAGCTTAGCCGAAAAAGAGGATTATAAAGGTAACAAATTGATGTATTTTTATGTTTAAAAAGCTAGCAGGAAATGCTGATAGGGTAGTTTTGCTAAGACAGGCAGTAATTACGTGGAGTGCTTTAGACAAAAGCACATGACACAAAAACAAATATAAATTGATATAGTTTACTTTTTCAAGATTTGGTATCTTGTTCTTGTTTAAATTAGTAGCCAATATTTTTTGAGTAATTGTGAAATTACTTAAAAGAATGACACAAAAGCAAATATAAACTTAGAAAGTTGACTTTTTTTCAGTAGCCAATATTTTTTGAGTAATTGTGAAATTACTTAAAAGAATGACACAAAAGCAAATATAAACTTAGAAAGTTGACTTTTTTTCATATCTACATTAGTACGGTATGAAGTCCGTAATCCGGACTCGTCGGGACTTCGACGATTCCGGATTAGGGATTGATCATCAATTTAAATCTGGTAAGATGGCATGCAGAAATTATACAATTAAAAATATGAAACCATAATTTATGAAATAAAGAGCAATTATGATCTAAAGGGTATCAAAATTTACACCAAAAAAAAAAAAAAAAGCTTAATATTTGTTTACTTTATTAAACATTTCTTTCAATGTAAGTTGTCTAAGTTGCTTCATATTTTGTGGTAATACTTTCTCTTTAATTCTATAAACAGACATAATTTCTTGTTCAGTTACAAAGTTCCACTGTTCAAGTCCTGTAATTGCTGTGTCGAGAATACCGACTAACTTGTCAATCGAAATTTTTTCGTTTTCAGTAACCTCTGTGTCACTTTCTTCACTATCATAAGCAATATTTTCTGAATCTAGAACCATACTACAGATTTTTCCATCCGTTAATTGATTGATGATTGGAGTGTTGTTGTCGCAATGAAAAACATCTGTTATATCATCTTCATTTATTACCGCTTCTCCACATTTCTTTACAAAATCCAGTAACTCAAAAATTTCACCTTTAGTTTGCGATGTCCAAAAACCTTCAAATTTGCGGCTATCATCTTCATTGTCCTCGCCATGAAATATGATAGCTGGCCATAAATTATGCCAAGCATTTTTTAACGTATCTGGAGACACATCCTCCCACGATCTTGCGATGCTCCACACATCAGATTTTATGCTAAAAATTTCAAAAAGTCTTGAATAGTCTTCCCATTCTTCAAGATATTTGACATAGATTTTAAAAATGCTACTTTATATTTGCATTTCAGTGTGTGCACTATTCCCATATCCATAAGCTGAATGATAGACGTACAATTTGGAGGAAAGAATAATACGAATACATTATCTTTCACTAAAACTTTTAAATGAAGTATGCGCCAAACAGTTGTCAACAATCAGGAATATTTTTGAGTCATCAGGTAAACCAACTGAATTCAAATGTCGCCGAGCCTCGGGTATAAAATGATTTTCAAACCAATCATTCATCAACGCTTGTGCTTGTGTCAAAATTTGTGGCTTTGAGGTCCGGATTATAGATCATTCCGGATAATGAACGTCTGGATTGCGGTTTTTGTGCTGTATTATTTTTTTTTCAATAATTATGAGATTATTCAATACTCTAAAATAATACTTAAATATTATAAATTAAATATTTGAACTGTCTGACTTATGGCTTCAACACAGCTCATAAAATGCATAATGCTATAAAAATATGTAAGACATAAGTTAAGTGTATACAAAATTTTACATTGGCAGAATGTTTAATATATAAGATAAATAAATACAAATGTTTACAAAAATTTATTATAATATTTAGAGGTAATCATCACTTTCTGAACATATTTGCCGGTATCATCTTTGAAAATCAGTATAGTCATCTTTGAAAAGCTTTATATTCTGGTATTTATAGTTGAGATTCTTTGGGCATAATTTTATTAAAAGCTAGCCACTTTTGTGGCTTAGCTGCCTCAAATAGTTGTTATAAAAAAGAGAAAAAAATGTTGTGTGCATATGGGTTCGTAATGGATTGAATGTGCACAGAACTGTTGATAGCTTGGTGAAGTTTAGTTTCCCCAAAGAAACACTTTATTCTGGAACTTTCCTCAAAAGTACATGTGCAGATATTCTCAGTATAATACAGCACAATTAGTAGTTACCACTTCAAACTACTAAGAACATTAAACACAATGCAGTGCCAAATAAATCTAAAGATCGAAACTTGCATGGAGCTCTCTCTGAACTGGAAAGGTGACAACAGATGCTCTCTCCAGTCTTTCCCCTCAGCCGCTGTGAAATCTCTAGTAACTTCTATTTTTTGAAATTATTGGAAGGAAATATGGTTAAAGTTGCACATAAGGACCGGATATGGTTGCAGTTACATATAGGGATCCATTACAGTTATGCAGGGACTGAACCAAAATGTTGCCAAATGATCTCCAAGTTTGGCAATTTCTTGCCATGTTTGGTGATAAAAATTATTAGTTGACAAAACATTACCAGATTGGCGATATCTCACCAATTAAGCTAGATAGCTATTTACCTCAAAGTTAAATATACTTCCTCTGCAATCTTATATTTCTGGTAGAGCTTCATCTCTTGAGGTGTTTCATGTTACATTATACAAAAGATACTACAGTTGTACATGTTATTTGACTAAAATTACATATTTACAAGTTTCATAACAATATATATAATGATTTTAATGAATCCATCTAATGCACTTTCACGGGTAAAACTAGTAATTAACAATAATTGAAAAAATATGCATGTGTTGCTTCTCAGTTGATTAGTTTGTTAATTCATAACATAATGAATTTGACAAGAAAAATTAAATATCTTATGCTTTGCCTTGGAGATAAAAATATTTTATATTAGATATTGGCAACACATTTCTTTCAAGTCACTAAATTCTTTTATTAAATTTGGAAAATGTGTGTCTTGCATTTTGCTGAGTGGCAAGGCAAATCTTTTATACTGCCGTGTTTTGTGATTTGATTTTAAAAGGGAACTAACTATTATATGCTTTGCTAAGTGCATTAAGCTTTTGTAACCCTAAGTTTTTAATAGAAAATTTCTTAAATTTGGATAAAATATTATGCAAATAAAAAAATTCCAGATTTGGATTTCAAAATGCCTATGTTCAGGTGAATGACTATATGCGTTCGAAATTTTGTGGCTCTAGGTGCTACCATTTTCATACAGTGCAATTAAATTTGAAAGACAGATATATCAGATTTTGCTCAGTGGCAAAAAATTAAGTGATTAAATATAAAACAAATATTTTACGCTTTACCAAGTGGCAGTACAAAGCTTTTATTTTGCTGAGCTTTCCATGAAAAATTCCTTAAATTCACACAAAATATGAAATAAATTTAAAAAATTCAAAATTCAAGTTAAGTCTTCAAGGTGTTTATGTCCAAGTGGAGGACTTTGTGCAGTCACCAAATCGTGTTCAACACTAAGTGACTCTGTGCATGTGCAATCATTTTTCCACAATGCGAGGAATGTACATACAGATTGTACATACATGCAGATTCTTCTTTATTTAATTTTATTAAAAATATCGAATTCATGTTACAGTGATGTGACATCATTTTGACTTCTGACACTTTTAATTAAAAATTGACTTGAGCCGATTGCCATCGATGAAATATAAATATCTGGTTTTAAAATGCATATGAATTGTTCAGATGAATCTTTGGTAATGATGTAGTGCACAATATACCTCTTGTAGTTAATTTTTTAATTCTTTGATGGTGCCACTAAAATTCTTAATTATTTGGTTTTCTTTTCGTATTTAAAAAATGATGAATTTAAGTTTAATAGATTGTTAAAACTAAATTGATTAAATAATTAATGGAATCATTTTCATCTATGTTTTCTTAATTGTTTGTATTTATTTTTATACTTAAAAAAAGTATATCATGTTTAAAAAATAACTAATTTATTTTTTAGGAGTTTAATGAGTTATGAAATTAATTAATGGAATTATTTTCATTTATATATTCTTAATTATTTGTATTTTCATATTTAAAAATAGTATTTAATGTTTAAAAAATAACTATTTATTTTTTGAGAGTTAAATTTTAATAGGTTATGCCACTCAGCTGGTATACTGCTTAGTGACCGAAATGCCGTCGCATGGACCTCTGGCCTAAGATTCTACACCAATCAGAGTTATGTCCATGCGATGGAAAGGAATCTACCATCCACTGAATCAATGATAGCAATATTACAATGCTAAATTTACAATGTCATCTATACAATAATTGTTACATAATAATCCGTATGAAAAATAAATGTACAATCAATTAATCGTAGCATTCTCAATAATCCGTATGAAAAATAAATGTACAATCAATTAATCGTAGCATTCTCATGGATAGGATCTGTGCTGTGGAGAGTGGAACCTATATATTAACCAGTTTCTAAACCTATGTCTTTTTCAATTAGTCATAACTTCATGTTCTTATCAGTCACACGCCTAATGATATGTGTCTATATTATTGTTGCAGTTATCCACAGAGTAGGCCAGTCTCATCAGTTCAGGCAGTTGATAGTTCCCTAGTCCAAAGTATATGATGTTGTGTAGAATATTCTATGTTCATATTTACTGGATTCTAAGTTAACTTTTGATAAATTCGAAAGTACACTTTTGTTAAGTTCATTGTTCACTTCGATACATCATAACTTCGTGTCCTTAACACCTAGTTTGCACACCTCATTATGTGTGTCCATAGCGATTTGCACACTGTGTCGCAGTTATCCACACAAGCAAATATTTTGTAAATAATAACTTGGCTCCCAGATTATTAAAGAAAGAAAACTAATTCTTAAATTTTTTCAGTACAATTCTAAATTGTGCAAAACTACAAATTCGTTATACAATTCCAGTCTATACAAATTGACTGGTATTCCAACAATATAAAGGACATATTCTAAAAAATGCTATTATTTATTCCATTGCATGTATCTAATTGTGTTTATAAAAAGGCTATAATAATACACAATTTCTTCAAATAGTTAAAACGTCTACTGGAAAACAGAAACTAATTCCCAATTATAATATACATAAGATACATAATTATCCAGTGCATATTATTTACCAATCATCATACCATAAAAATACACATGTTTCAAATGCTGCAACTAATTTTTCATTACAGTTAGAATATTTTTACCAATCAATCATACTACAAATGTACATGTTTAAAAAAAAACTGCACCTAATTTTTCATTGCAGTTAAAATAATAAATTTTTACTATACAATTATAAATAGCACATATTCAAATATAGCTAATCATTCTTGTAAAATGGCTATAATTAGTGCCCAATTTCTTAATAATTAAAAACATCTAAGAAAAACAGGAACCAATTCCCAATTGTAACAAACATGAAATACAAAAAAATTATTCAGTACATATTTTATACCAATCAGTTATATCATATGAATGCACATATTTCAAATGCTGCAACTAATTTTTCATTACAGTTGGTATATTTACCAATCCACCATACTATATAAATGCATATGTTTCAAATACTGCAACCAATTTTTCATTACAGTTTAGTATATTCCAATTTGCCAGCTAATAAAATGAATCAGCTGTAAGATGAATTGGCTGTAATAGTTCACAATGCTTAAAATAGTTAAGAACATCTACTGGAAAACATGAACTTATACCCAAGTGTGATGACCAGGATATACAGAAGTTATTCTGTACAAGGCTGTTATAAATCCACATCCTATAAAAAGCTACAAAAAATCCTCAGATGTTTATTTTTATGTGCAAATACAAAACACTCAACTCTCTGTCAAATATAGAAAAGACATTTACCAGATCTATCAGAACTCAATAAACCTAAATATTTCATACATTTAATTATAACTCTAATAACAAGGAAGCATTATAACCGACAAAATAATTAGATACAGTTCTAAATTCCTGTTCTTACTTAAAATGCACATATTCCAAGAACTGTAATGAACTTTTTATCACAGTCAGAATATTCCAGTTCGCCAGCAAACAATAATTGAAATTGACTTATAATAATGCAAAAATAATATAATAATAACAAAATGACAAAAATAATAATAAAAGAATGCAATAATAATTATAAAATAACAAATATTCATAATTATAATAATTTAATATTAACATACAAAGAGACAATTCCCAAATGCCTCAATAAGTTATAAATACCTACAGAAGTTATTCCCATGTAGAAGTGCAGATCACATCCAGTACTTAATAGTCCTAAATATTCTATGCATTGAAGTTAAACACACAATTATATTTAGAACATGTCAAATGGAAAAAAAAATAAAAGGCCTCCCATAGTGCAAATATTATGCGAAGGTTGTTACTAGTTGACTGCTGACCTGATGGGCCTGGGTTTGAATCCGGGAGAAGGCATGGTTGTAACTGCCTGTCCCTTCATAAGAGGCCGCTTACTAGGCATTTCCATAATGAAATGGTCAACACTTCTGGCACAAGGCTAATGACTATTAAATAAAGCACTTGACCATTTAAAAAAATAAATTAATAGAATCATTTTTAATATATTCTTAATTATTTGTATTAATTTTTGTATTTAAAAATGATATTTCATGTTTAAAAAATAATTTATTTATTTTTTAGGAATTGAATGACTTTCATTTATGCATTCTTAACTATATGTATATATTTTCATGCAAAAATAGCACTTTAGTGGCAACATCAAAAAAAATTACTAATGAAAAGCAAAAGATCACATTCTACATCATCACCGTTTTGGGTTTGGTAACAATACCAAAAAGTTTTGGGCTCTCTCTTGAAAAATGTATTTAATTGTAGTAAAATAAACTGTCATATATATTAATTGTTGCACAAACATAAAAACTTTGGTATTATATTACTAATGAAGTATTTTAAATAAAAAATGTGTTCTTTGTTTTAATTTTTCTGATGTAAACCATGTTTTAAAATTTTCAGGGTACGTCAGAAATGTTGTGACAGAGACAGAGTTTGTCTTCATCAACATTTGGATGAATGAGACCTCATATTTTACAGCTGGCTTCGTAATGTTAGTTTTTGTGAGTTTTGTTTTTTTTTTTTTCTTTTGTTGTTGTTGTGTATGTATGTTTATATTAAACTTCTTTCTTATTTTTTAACTAAATAAAAAAAGTAGGTGTGGCAAATAAATGAACAACTATCTTTTAAAGCCACAGAACTTTATTTTTGATAAACATTTGCATAAAAAATAAGCCAAAACCATTTGCACATATCTCCACTGTCTTCTGATATAAAAAATAAAATTAAAAAAAACCCAAGCAGTCTGATTCTAATATTATTGTAATATAAAATAAATATAATAAATAATATAAAACAAAAAATAAGATGTGGATACCACATGACTTCTTTGTACAGCCTATTAAATTATACACTTTTCTTGCTGCATTTCATTTATGTTTATTTCATCAAATTTCATTAGAGATATGTATCTCATTCTCAATCAATTCATTTCTTATTTCGTGACAAGACAAAAATACATAAAAACTCAAAGCACCTTCATTAAAAATTGTAAGATACAGAAAAAACATAAAACACCAAATACAATTAAAAACTAATTTTTAGAATTAAAATTAGTTTCTATGCAAAAGCAAGCAATTCGGCCAGTGGGTAGGAAGACTGATTTTTTGGTGCACAAAACTTCAAGTTGACTTTTTCCCACTTGGCAGAAAGACACTAAAGTTGGTGCATAATCTGACTTAATTCACTATTCTACTAAGAGTTTTCAAAAGTAAACAAATGGCGGCTTTGTTAGTTTAGTAGCACTTAAACAGCTTTTAAATTGTTGATAATTCTACAACTATTGCATGCAAATTAACTAAAGGCATAAAAACCTTAACTGGAACAACATAATTCAGTCACTATTAAAGCAAAAAAATGCACAATTTGCCAACATGTAAGAATAAGAAACTGAACTCGCCGAACCAGGTAACAGAGTGGGAATATATATGTATATACCAGGGGTGGGCAAAGTGCGGCTCGCAAGCCTTATGTGGCTCTCGCAGGCAATTTGTGAGGCTCGTGCATATAAAACATATGTATGAAATATGGTAAACTAAAACTATTCAGTGTCCTAAAGGAAGCTATTATTTAATTTAGGCTCTTTTTACAAAGTTATCAGGGGTTTTTTTCTATTTAAAACCTCCTCTACTACTTCTATAATGATGTTAATATGAACTTGTGGCTTTTGGAAAATCTAGATGCGGATCTCGAACATTCCTGAATTCAAAAGTGTGGCTCTCACTGACATGAAGGTTGGCCAACTCTGGTATATACAGTTTTATTACAATGAAAAAAAGAGGTACACATTTACATGTTATAGCAGTCTCATATACAAAATTTCAACATTCTTGGGCTACTCATTTTTATAGTTATATGAGATACTAATCATGTACACACGTCATGAAAAAATCTCTTTTGAATTCATTTCACAATTCTTTTTGGGAAAAAGAGTCCTTTATTCTGTCCACACATGTAAATGTCATACAAAAATATCATTCAAATGGATTTGAGAGTTCTCAAAATGAATATTTTCATTGAAATGCGATTCCCGAAATTTTTCGTAGTTACAATACATCCTTTACTTTGTACAAAGAAGTAAAAATGTCTTTTAAATGCATAGAAGTGTCTTTAAAAAACGGTGATTAATATTTATCTCTATATACATGTGATAAACTTGTATATAACCTGTTTTGTTCCGTTCACCCCTTTCACCATTGCTAGAAGATTATCTCCCCTTCTTCCCAAAGCTTGAAAATTACATTTAGATTTATTTCGATTTAAATTATTTTTAACCTGATTCATAAATTATACAACAAAAGTATAGAAAACAGTAATTAATGGCAAAACTTGAATAAAGGAAGCTTGTTATATTCATAAATATGAGCTAAATGTGTACAGTTAAATTAGGTTGACCCCTGAAACTATGAAAGGGGGGATTTCTTCTGGTTGAGAACCTTGCTTTAAGGTTAAAAAAATCTACTTTGGAATCAAAATAATACAAAGCTTATTCGTTAGTCGCAGAGTCAGTCCGTTAATGACATATACTAATAAATCATTTGAAAAATATCCCAATGTTAAAACAATTAAGTATACTTTTTCACAAAATGCAAGATAAAATTGAAAAACTGAAATTAGAATGTAGAACTACAAAACTTGCAAGAAATAAATAGAGAACGTCTTACACAAACTACTAATTTCAAAACAAAAACCATCAGCAAAAGTATTAGAATCGAAAGAGACGCCTAGGTTTGCCAGTTTAGCAAAAAAAATTGGCTATGGTAAAAAAAATCTCCTACTTGGTGATTTAAATGCTAGCAAGAAATTTTAATTTTTTTTAAAGGGTAAAGTAAGAAAAGAAAGAAATGAAACAAATGTTAGTCTTGACATCATGGGCTTATCATGATGACTAAGAATATAGTAGGCCCTTTGTTAATCAAAAAAAGTGTATTAAGTAAAATGAAATACCGTAATTTCGCACGTATAGTCCGCACCATCGTATAGTCCGCAGACACGATTTTATATAAAAAAAAATTTCAAAAATCGTCAGATAGTCCACACCACCGGATAGTCCGCGGACTATACGTCCGAAATTACGTTTTTTTTAATACGGCAATATCCCCATGCTTTTTAAACACATCCTTTGTTTGCGCCAATTTTCTCACCGCTTTCTCGTCCACTTCAAACCAACAGGGTAAAAATCCTAGTATACGGTGCAGCCTTGGTGCGACTTTGAAAATTATCGCCAACACCAAAAATGATCCAAAGAATGTCTATATATATATATACTATGTTTAACTATATATTTTCTTTGAATGACCCGTTAACTACTCATCGTATATGTCCCGTTTTCACTGCTCATAATAAAGTCGCCAAAAGTAGTCAAATCCCATGTGCACCGAATACTAGGATTAAACCAATAAGGGCCCGCTTCTCTATTTCCATCTTTTTCCCGGCGATGTTTCATCATTATTATAGAAGATGAAAGACAAGATACGAAAACAAAAAACTGCACAACGTGCTATACTCGTGATAAATGGTAATGAAATGTGACCTTTGACCCCACTCACTCGGTGTTGCCAAACCACGCTTTATAAGTAAATGAATCACGCTTTTTTTTTTTTTTTTTTTTTTTTTTTTTGTACTCCAGGTACTTGCTACTATGGCTCCTAAAAACCGAGCTGACGCATCAATTACTTTTCCCCCTCCCAGCAGTTGCGCTAAAGCAGTGCGAAGGATACTGGGATACAAGACTCTGGTTGCGCTAAGTGAGACTAGACCGTCAATCTCAGAACGCCTGCTATTGTTAGCTGGGCGAGTTCAATATACACAGGTGAGAGGAATAGAAAGGAAAGGTTCCGGAATGGTTTACAACGGAAATAATTAGATCGTGGAATGACTTTCAGTGGGTACTAGAGAAAAAAAGGGTATGCTCGCTGACTTATTCCCGAACCGTGGAAGGAGTTTCACTGCTTATTTTTATGCTCCATGTTTTATTGAACATTTTGTTTAAGGACAGATTAATTTTTATCAATTTATGAAACAAAAAAATATTTCATAGAGGAATACATGTTTGCAATGTAAAATTGTATGCTTATTTAAAATTTGCATAATGTTTGGGTGAAATTACATAATTTTGTTTATTCCAACGAAATTTAATATTTATTAGAACTCTTATTACGGTAACAGAGTATTACATGAAGTTACAATACGTAACTGTAAAGTTTTTATTTACTTAAGGTATTGTAGAAAATTGTAACTGTAAATAAAAAGGGCAGACAATCAATAAGAATAATAAATAATACACTTAGTAACGAAACGCTAGCTACCCTCACAAAGCAGGAGCCTGTTCATAGTAGGCACTCAATCCCGGAATGACTGAAATTCCTATACTCAAAATCCCTTTTCCTTTCTCCTCTTAGCTCGTCCGTACTTTCACATACCAAACCTACAAATCTTGGACTCTTCCAGCAAACAATAGAATTCGTTCCGGGATTGAGCGCCTACTGCTAAGTGAGTCTTTCTTTGGCTCAAATTCCGGCATCGCTTGATGCGCCAGCCTGGATTTTAGGAGCTCTACTTGCTACTACTCATTCGTTCTGCACTATGCTCTATGGTTTACTATCGATACGATACATATGAATTTTTTCTTGGAATCTCGCGCTTTTTTTTATATTTGATCATCGGCAGTTCACGACAGCGTGTTTTTTAAGTTTCAAAGATTTTAACCATGAACAACCAGCGTATTATCCGCACTGGTGGATAGTCCGCAGCTTCAAAAATTCGCATTTTAAACACAGCTAGTCCGCGGACTATACGCGTGAAATTAAGGTACTATAAAGCTTCCTAAAACATCCTTCTTTATGCTTCTCTATTTGAACTTTCAGGTAAAAAAAAAAATGTGTACTTTAAAAAAAAATTTATAGGGTGTAGGCTACTCCAGCTTTTTTTTTAAAGACTATTAATAAAGTTAATTGGAATTTGGTTTTCTTTTAAAATTTTCATGAAAAAAAAGAATTTCTTTCTGTTTTTCTGTATTATTGTAAACTTTTCTTTAATTCTGTTAATTTGATTAAAAACTGTATTTGTTATTACATTTTTGGATATATTGGAGTACCAGTTTAGAAGTTTTATCGTAGAAAAATTAAATTCTCTTCTTTTATCAAATAGTCTTATTTCTTTAAGATTATGAATGCTAAGATCTAGATTATCTATTAATATTACTAACTGATTTTAATTGGCTTTATTTAGACAGTTGGGATAGATTTTGCTAATTTCAATAATATTATTATCTTTGAAAGTGATAATATCATCAATATATCTGAAAGTGTGTTCAAAATTATTAAAGTAGTTATCATAGATGCTAAAATTATTATCATATATGCACTTGATATTTGAGTCTTTGTGAAATTGGTTCTAAATTTCTTACTTTTTGTCTATACTAATTAAATACTAATATATTTTGCATCAGAATTGTATTACAAATAGTTGAATAATGTGAATTATGCATTGTAACTGAATTTAAAGTCAGTTTGTAGTTCCTTTTGAAATGGTATCGCTGATTAGCGAGAAATTTCTTTTTTCTTCCGGTTTTTTCATAAAAATCTGCTGGTTTTTAAGATTTCAAGGTTGGCAACTATGGTATATGATTTTTTTCCCCCGAGAAGCTTCTCAAATCTCAGAAAGTTGATAAGAAATCAGCAAATGTTGTGAATTTGATCATAAATTTTTTTTAAATAAAAGCCAGCTATTATTAAGCTGTGTATATTTCTAGTTCTCCTCAAAACATTTTCTTAATTCCCGTGTCAGTTTGCATGAAATTTTAAGTTCTACAAAATAATAAAACACTTAGAATATACAAGTGGCAAAAATTAAAGATTGAACAAAATACACAAAAGAGTACTTTTCAATTATCCGCACTCTCCTCCCAAAAAGTTATCGACTCATTGGCAATTACTTTTTCACCAAGCTAATATGCATATAGCAGCTCATTAAGAATTCCGTACTAGAGCAATCAATCAGTAAAATTTAAAAAGCAAGAAACGTCCATAATTAATACACCTTTTTCGAGAAATGTTGTGCTAATTTTTTTTACCATTCTTTTCCTTATACAGTCAAAAGTCGTTAATTTGGACACCCATAATCCGGAATGATCTATAATCCAGACCTCAAAGCTAAAATCTTTCTGTGCATGCGCCGCGTTGACGCATGCTCATAGGCGTTTTACGCGTGCTCGCAAGACATTTACGACTGCGCATTCTGCGCAAGCGCAGAATACATTTTCGCGTGCGCGTTTAATGTGTAACAGATGGTATAAGCTAAAATTATCTAATTATCTATTTCAGTTAATGTTGATGATCGCGTTGTTCCTTAATCTTCGAATTGGATCCGGCTTATTATTTTTTGCAGACTGTAAGAGCAATTTTATAAAAAGTAAGCTTGAACTTTCGATTATGTCAAATAGAATTTCCGATGCTGGAGCTCCCAAAGGATCTAGAAAACGAAAGTATGTTTCGATGTCCATCAAACAAAAAACGAATTGGATAAAGAAAAATGGATAAAGGTATATCCTTTGTTTATCTAACCATTCCGAAATCTGTTTATCAATTTCATGCTGCTCTGAGCAATGAACTGGATGTTGATCTGTCAGTTATGTCGTTATCTTCAGGGCAGATGTTTTTATTTTATTCGGCTTATAATTCCTTACTAAATGTAGTATTTAATCTCGATGTACTCCGTCTTTGATATGATTTAAATCAAACTCCTCATCATTATAAATATCACGAATACAAATCAAATAGTTTTCTGGTTGCAATTTTCTAATTTCGGCTATGTGTAAGGTATGCATGTGCGCGTTGAAAGAAATGTTTAATAAAGTAAACAAATAAATATTAAGCTTCTTTTTTTGTAAATTTTGATACCCTTTAGTCATAATTGCTCATTATTTTATAAATTACAGTTTCATATTTTTAATTTTATAATTTCTGCGTGCCATCTTACCAGATTTAAACTGATGATCTATAATCCGGAATCGGCGAAGTCCCGACGAGTCCGGATTAAAGACTTTTGACTGTACACAGTAATCTGTTTTTGCTTTAAAAAAATCAGAGAATTGTACATATTTCGCAGCCTGCATTATAACACTTTTGCTTGCAATTTTTCACATTGCATTTCCACAAAATTTGATTGTTCAAGAAACACAACTGCTTGAAATGTAAATTTTTGCATTCTCTACTGCTGGACAAAACATCCTGTTTTTGAAGCAATACAATGCTTTCTTTTTCATCAGCTGGCAAATTCCACAGTCCCATTGTGATTTGTGAAAAGAGGAAAAGTTTATCCTGTGCAAAAGCAAACAATAATCAGAAAAATGACCATTAAATTTGAAAGCACATACCTTTGTTATGGTTATGTGTGCACACATACCTTTGTTGCCATATTAAATATATTTTGGTGACATCATGGTTTGCCACATAACTGCTTTGTTAACATAGTGCATTGGCTAGTGAATACTTTTGGTGGAGGATGGGGATAACCAGGAAGAGCAACGTGAAGAATGTAATAGACAGTGAATAAATAAATAAAATCACACATAAAATGCATATAAACACTTATGTACAAAACACTTAAAATCTAATGTATAGGAAGCATGAAAAAAAATCTTAAATATTTACATGAAAAATAGAGCATAAAAATTTTTTAATAATATAATCTTACAAAAATAAGTTGAAATGGGTTTAAATTGGTGATTTTAATCATGTGACTAAGATTATTTATGTTTTAATTGAGTGTACAGATTAGTAAACCAGGAACGGCCAACTTGCTACCCAATCTGCAGAATTTATGAAAATCAGTGCCTTTGACTGGCAAAAACTTGCAGCATCAGTTATGGTTTGCAAATATTGAGATTGATTTAGAAAACCTAAATGACAGAAAAAAAAAAAAAAAAAAAAAAGAATATCGCACCGATTATGTGAATAATAATAGTTTTGCTTGTTTTCTTTATTATTATTGCAATTATGTTTTATGTATGTATGTATGTATTATCAGAATACTAGGTTATTATACCTGGATTAATTTAAGTAAAAATAAAATGCAGTAACAAGTGTGAAAAGCGTATTGGAAAGCAGGAGGAGGTAGCTAAAAAAATTATACTAGTAATTAAAAACTGCAAATAATAAATTAGCTGTCAAGTGAAAGTACTTTAGCTTTAACTTTATAGTTTTCATATTTATGTCCTTCTTATGTAATGGAATTTGTTTTTTAATTAGTGATATAGTATTTTTTTCATTCATGTTAAATGGCATTTTTATTGAATCAGTTAATTTGAATAAAGTGCTTGGTTTGTTGCAGACAGTGTCAATATCCATTCTCTTGAGATACTCTCATCATCAGATATTTGTTTTTATTGGTAAGTTGTTTATTTTCCCTGATTTCTTCAATAATTTCCATTTGTGGTTATATATAATTAAAAAATAAGCTGCATCTGAGTTAAAATAACAACAACGATTCAGTGAAATTTGCAGGACTGGTTCCAAAGATTTAAATATAGATCTTTCTTCTTCAGTTGCAGAAGTGCATTGTTTACATGTTCAACCCAGTATCATCACTGTTTATTAGTTTTAAAGGCATAAATAATATTGTGAATATTAAAAAAAATGTATGGCAACACATAACACTCTTATCAGCTGTTTTTAAATATTTTGTGATTCTGCTGTTGAGTTTTATGTGACATAAGTGTAATAAAAGTGATATGTAGTAAAAAAAGTTGTAGGTCGCTTTAAGAAGAAAATCAAAAAATCTAATTAAGAAAACTGAATATTTGATAGGATGAACTGAGAAAACACTGAAAGAAAATAAATGTCAGTACTTAACACTTCATCCATAATTCTAAACTTATGCAGCTTTTAATATTTCTGTGGTTTTTACTGTTGAATTTTATGTGGTGTAAATGTGAAAAGAGTGAAGTTTAATAATAAAGTTTAAAAGAGAAAAAAAAAGTATTTGAGCAGGAGTGAGCCACAGAACAGATTAGTAAACAATGAGCTCTGTGAGAGAAGAATAAGTACCTCAACAAACCTTCTGGTGCAATGTTAACATGAATTTTCAGCAAACAATGAACCTTTTCAGCTGGGGCGTAGCTAAAGGGGGGCATCTGTCCCCGGGTGCAGAATCCAAGGGGCACCAAACTGATGTTATGACATTTTAGAATTAAATGTTTTCCATCCCTGGCAAACAGTAGGGGGCACGAAATCTTCAGTTGTCCCTGGGCGCTGAAAACCCTAGCTACAACTCTGCTTTTCAGACTCCCCCCTTATTAAGGAAACTGTTTCCAAGCAATAAATGATATGTATTGAATTAGTTAAAATTAATCGTTAAAACTCTTCTTGCGTCTAGTGATTTTCAGCAGAATTTTTCTTGTTCAGTTTTATTTTGTTTGAATTGTCTTAATCCATTGGTGTTGAACTCAAATTGCATGCGGGCCAAGTGCCCAATCCAAAAACTATTGACAGACCAGCATGTTGAATGTTTTTTTTTTAACAAATTGTAAAAGTATTTGTAACAAAAGAAAACAAAAATAAATAAATAAAATAAAATAAATTTTAAGTTTCACCTACTGAATACTTATCAAAACATGTAAATAATAATGATAAAGACACAAAGAAAAAAATTCAGATATATATTTATTTTCTATCCTAAAGGTACACTGCTGAAAAAAAAAAATGGGACAGTGCTATATCTCCTGTTCTACTGGGGCGATTCACAAAATTCAAATTGCGTGCTTCATGTCTTGAAAGCGCGACTTAGGATATATATTAGATTTATATATAGCACTATTCTAACATAGGTATTTTGACACAAAATCGGACTTTTTCTGAAATAACATACCAATCTTTTACATATTTCGATTCTACGCGGCTCAAATTATGGCCAGAATACCAAGTTTTTGTAAAAATCGTACGAGTAGTTTTTTTAAAATATTAGCTCTCAAAATTTTTAGCTCCTCAATGTTAATTGAATTTGGCAATATTTTTTATATCTGTTTTTTTATTAAACTTTTTGATTTTTTTTTTTTTTTCTCACATTTCGAATTTAGGTTCATTCCAAATAAATTTACCCATTTTTGTGTGTTTTAAATTTCTTTTTTTAAAATTTAATTATAAATTTTTTGAAAAAAATTTTGAATTCTAACCTATAAGGTTTTACATCATCTTGAAGTAGGTATATTTTTAAGCATATCTGCAAAAAATTAGACTTTTTTTGTATTCAAATTTTCTAAGATATACACAATTTACATATTTTCCCATTTTGAAATTTAGCAGCTTTTTTTTTTTTTTGAACGATAATAACGCCAAATGTGGTCTATGGATTTTTGTTACCTGTATTGCCACAGCTATTTTTTAACCTTAATTTCAAGTAAAATTTTCGGAGAATTAATTATATGACATTTTTTTTTTCCCTCAATGATGCGTAATAATATTTATTTAATACTGTATGAAAGCTATTTTTTTAAATAAATTTTTTAAATTTTTTTTAAATTTATCTCTATTTTTATATTATTTTTTATATATATATATATATCTAATAATAAGAGTAAATTTTTACCTTCGGCATTTTTATCGTCTGCTCTACTTTACTTCGTTTAATCGAATTGTCTAAAACTGAGAATTTTCGTTTGATGTTTATTTGAATTTTATGACATTAACTGCACAATTTATTTTCTAAACAAACTGATGCTTTTGAAGTGACTGAAAGAGCGGCAAGAATTTTTAAAACTAAAAAAAATCAACTCATTTTTTATCCTAATTGTATTTTGTGTGTAGCGTTTTTCATTATTCTAATTTAAAATTCTATTTAGAATGTAATTGTCAAGAACTGAACCCTAATCAATCAGTAATATAATAAGTAATTATTACGGTTATTAATAAATCCTTCTTATAAGTAATTGCAAATATTTCAAAAAACTTTCTGTTTGAATGCAAATATTTTTAATTTTATATTAATCAAGATTGCACACGATATTATTTATTTGCACTTCAATTCTTAACGTCAGTTCTAGTAAAAGTTACAAATCAATTATATTTAATTCTGGGTTGGATTATTTAATTATGGCAAAGCACACGAGGGCTATCTGCCTAAAGGGAGGGATGCCTTCATGGAGGACTTTCTAAGGGAAACTGGCTCGTATACACGTTAAACATCGGGAAAACCACGAAAACACCCATGTAACCAGCCCGTTTGTCGGATTCGAACCTCGGACCGAACTACCAGTGATCAGCGTCTTTACCGCTCGGCCGCTGGTGGGCTATTTAATTAAGGAATGACCATCTCAGTTTAGAAACAGCATACCGTAACAGCAATTCAATTATTGGCGCCGTATCTTTCATGTTACTACCCGATTTGCAAGTTACATGATTTTAATGTATTCGGGTTTGCTAGTAACTTCACTTGGAACTCGCGCTTAAACTAGATTAGTTGGTTATTTAACATAAAAAGAACATGGGAGCTATTTGATAAAGAGCTTTCTTAGAGAACCTTTGTAAAGAGAACCTAGAAAACTACGAAAACCACTATGCACCTGGGTTAGACTTCGCAACAAACAATTAGTATTTAACAATCTTCAAATTCTAGGCAACTGGTGAGGCTCCAATTAAATATCCATTTTAATATTTTATTTGTAAATATTTAAATTATTGTTGTATTCTTAGTAAATATTTAAAATATTGTTGTATTATTGCAGTTACTAACGAGTTAACAAAACTTAAATTCTTACAAAAAGAAGAATTTAAGTTTTGTTAACTCGTTAGTAAACTGCCATGCCGTAGTGCAAATGAATATTCAGTTTCTTTTGCAATAATTGTATTTACTTAATATTCCTGGAGTATGAGCTAAATAAGGAACGTTCTCGGAAGAAGTGTTTAAATCCAGTGATATTAGGTTTGTCTTACAAGCTCAGGATCAAAACGATTCTGCAATTGCCCGAGTAGTTGACTTGTAAATGGCTGTGAATTAAGCAGATGACTTTTAATTTTATGTTTTTAGTCAGAAAAACGTATCCCCCCCCCAAAAAAAAGTATTTTGTATTGCATGGCAATGCATCTTTTCATTATTCAATAACCAGTTGGAGAACCGCTTGTGTTCCGAAAATAAGTATGTGTACTCAATCGTCCTGCATGTTCTTCAAATTTGTCTTCTTGGATTTTTTTTCTTCCCAAAACTAAAGTTGCCTCTCAAAGGAAAGTTTTTGTCATTGAAGAGACAAAAGGAGTATGACATCTACTTTTAGAGGCATGTCAAAAACAGATCTCTACAAGCCTTCTCTTCCATTACATGTTGTGCAGTCAGACAAAAAGTTGCATCAGCATACATTCTATAATCTATTTTTATTACACTCTGATTACTTTATTAACATACAGTGAATATATACTAAATTTTTTACTTTAGCTTAAGTAATTCGGAATTTTTGACGGAATTGTTGTCAGAACTAGGACTTAGAAGATAAGTCAAATTGAATACTTCGATAATTCAATAAATTCATAATCGAAGTTTCAATATTTTATTTTCGGAGGGAGGGGAAATTTTTTCAGTTTTGGTCTAATATCCTAAGTATTTTGCTTTCGATTCTTTATTTTTTCCATAAAAGCGAAAATTATACGCATGGTATACTTATAACGCATAGCTTCAAATTAAATTTTAATAATTACAGGGTGGTTATAATTAAAGTTTCACTTTGAAACGGTCCATAAAAGGAAAACTACTGGATCAAATGTTATCAAACTTTGTAACCGTGTAAGGATGTCATGGGAATTTATTTTCCGCGAAAAAAGAAAGTTCGAAACCTCACCACCAGGGGGAAATGGCGCTGTATGCAATATTGTTAAACGAAATATGGGTCGGAATCTACTTAAACCTTTTACATGGGTTTAGTATGTTGTAACCCTTAAGAAACTTTGAAG